AGGCCACAGCTTACTTCGACCCAGGACGTTTCGATGCGCTGGTGCGATTTGACCCCTTCCCGTCGGTCCTTCCTCTTCGTGTGGCTGCTGATGTTGATGTAGAGGAAGAACAAGTCTCAGTGCAAAGATGAACTCTCCGAAATGCTTGTTTTTTTATCAATTATTTACGGACGGTGGTGACGTGGAATGGGTAAGGGATGGCATTAATGGGAAAAGCCTGTGCTGTACACCAAACCGATGTCATTGCTTTATCTCCCCACAGCGACCGTTCTCTCAGACGCGTTTGATTCATTGGGTGCCGCTCTGTTATTATCCTTGACCACAATGTACTCCTTGGAGCAACGCGTCCTCCCCCATTGTTATGGGGTAGCATGGTCACTCCCAACGTCACGGGGCACCGCGGTGGCGAGATGGTAACTCCCACGCCTGTTATTTTAGGAGGTTGTGGGTTCGATCCCAACCCTGACGCCTGCTCTATATTTGGAGTTTGCATGTTCTGCCCGTGGTCGCGTGGATTTTTCTCCGGGTCCTGCGGTTTTTCCATCCACATTTATAATTAACTCGCGTTTAGAGCATTTGGCTGCTATAAATGTCCACGCGGTAAGACACTTCGTTGAGCTACCATTTATGGCCAGTTCACACAAGAATAAGAGCTTTACCTAATAAAATAAAAATTATGAGACCTCCTTTGCCAGTAAAAAGATATAGTAATAGGTTTTTACCCTTTTAGCTGGCACAAAAACTGACACCTTTATACAAGGGATCATGTTTGCAATAACCACAAAACAAGCAGTCAAAAATGCAAACAAAAAGAAACAACTCTGATAATGGTATGCACTGTCCTTGAATTTGATTGTTCCACACCCGAGACGGCTTTTCTTAGAGCCGAGTCTCCACTGGTGTTGGACCAGATGGCACTATAAGGCGTACAACTAAAAAACAGCGCACTATCAGAGTATTGAGAGCTCGGGGCAGGCCTTTACATTATGAGACGTCCTTTGCCAGTAACAAGATATTTTTTTTGACTGCTTGTTTTGTGGTTATTGCAAACATGATCCCTTGTATAAAGGTGTCAGTTTTTATGCCAGCTCAAAGGGTAAAAACCTATTACTAAAATAAAATTGTTTAGTTTTAGTCAACCAGCCATGATCTATCCACTGCTCGATGAAGGCCTGCGGATGCTGACACCGCCCCTAATTTCCCAGCAATGCTCGTGAAGCAGTGTGGGTTCAGATATCAGTCGCCACTGATGTTAGCTGTGGAGGGGACCAAACTCAACAAGCAGACGCTAACGGGCCAGTGCCGGATGAAGCTAGTGCGGGTCCTGTAGCATATGCTATAAAGGGGCCCTAAATAAAAAAAACGTAAATATAAAAAACACATTTTTTACTTGCATAGTAAAGTAATTATGTTTTTTTCATTTGCTATACAGCCAGATAATACGACAAATCGCTAACCTTAAACACCCAGTCGTTCATCAAAGTTGAAGGCGGTATAGTACTATAGTAATAGAGCAAGTGCAGCATCACCGAACCGGAATTGATAGCTTGAAAGCATTTAGCGCGGGGCCCTTGAAAGTGCGGGGCCCATAGCTACTACATATGTAGTAGCTACTTTTGCTCCTGGGATAATCCGGCACTGTAACGCGCCCGCAGTGCAGAACCGGGGACCCCCATACATGGGGGGGGGGGGGTTCCAGAGGTAGACTTTGCAGCGGTGAGCCTTGCTGACTATACCTTGCTGATGAGTTCCGATCAGGGAGGAAACCTGTCCACAGCTGTCTAATCTGCATAGTCCTCTTCCCTGAGGTTACCGTCAATAAATCGGGACCATGCGGCCGTCTGGAACGCTCTTCCTTTCTTATATTAGGAAGCCACTCCAGCGATGCACTTTCAAATCTAGATTTAAAACTCATTTCTTTAGAACTGCATGTTCGTGCTGAGTTTGTTGCCCTTCTCCCCGCACCTCCGATTAACACGGTTGGCTACGTACGACGCGAAAGAAGTCCACCATGCATACGATGCGCTTTCTTCGTCGTCTTACGCGTTGACGCGTGTGTGTGTGCTTTTTGGAGCCGTGTCTCCAGCATAGGGGAGGATGTTTTTAGCACTTTCTGTGGACGCCATGCCCAGTTTTCTTTTTCCAGATGAATCTTGGGCCCGTTCATTTCCCCTTTTCCTTGCGACCGTGACAGACTAGTTACATATAAATGAGGAACTCGCTGTCCCCCACCAACACACACACACGCACACACACACTCACGCGCGCACACTCACTCACACACACTCACGCACACTTACACTCACTCACACTCACGCACACTCACGCACACACACACTCACGCACACTCACACTCACGCCCGCACACACACACACTCACGCAGGCACACTCACGTACGCACACACACTCACGCACACACTCACACACACTCACACACTCACGCACACACTCACACACTCACGCACATACGCACACACACTCACACACACTCGCACACACTCACACAGACACACACGCACACTCACACACTCACACACAACAACAACCGCCATTCGCCACTAAGTGGCGGTGACGTCACCACGACGCTTGTGCCAGGCTATGTGCACCCTGAGGCCACGTGAAGTGTCGAACGCCCGCTGGCAGGTCACGGGGCAGACCCAGGTGCCACCGGTCGACTGACTGAGATGACTGGTTGATGCACCACCTGTGCCCCCTACTGTGCCAACCTGCTGTGCTTTAGCCACCCGGCGCTCCGCTCGCTGTTGTGAGCGTCGCTCCTCCGCCCTCCGTTGTTGTTGGAGGGCGACTGCCTCCAACTGCCCAGTAGCATCCTTCACGAGCCTCCTCCACAGAGGCCGATCTTGACACCGCTGGTACCAGTCATCGGCAAGTCCACTCAGCTCCACGTCCTCCTGTACCACATCACTCCATCTCTTCTCTAGCCCGTGCCGCGCCCGCTTAGCCCCCTCAATCCGGCCAAACAAAAGCTGTTTCGGCATGCGGTGGCTGGGCATGCGGGCTACATGACCCAGCCATCGCAGCCTTGCCTGCCGGAGGAGCTCACCGATGGGACCTTGCCCAGATCTTTCAAGGATTTGTGAGCTCCTCACACAATCCAGTCTGGTTAAACCCAGGATGGATCGTAGGCAGGCCAGCCTAAATGTTTCTAACCGGCGAAGATGTTCCATTAGGGGGGTCCACGTTTCGCAAGCGTAGAGAAGGGAGGGAATGACCGTGGCCGAGAAGACCTGAAGCTTAGTGCGGAGCGACAGACCAGGTAGCTTCCACACAGCGTTACGCAACCGATGAAAAGATATTGCCGCTCGATTGATTCGGAGTGAGACCTCTGCTGTTAAACTCACACACACACACAGACACGCACACTCACACACGCACACACACACTCACACACTCACGCACACACACTCACACACACACGCACACACACACACGCACTCACGTACACACACGCACTCACGTACACACACACTCACGCACACACACGCACACACACTCACACGCACACACACTCACACACTCACACGCACTCACACACGCACACACACACGCACACACACACTCACTCACACACTCACACATACTCACTCACACATACGCACGCCCTTGTCAGTAAACTTTACGCACGTGTGTTTTGGAAGGTCAGGGGATGATTCAGGCCGATGTTGAAGCAACAATGTTATCAAACGCGGCGGGCGAATGGTCCTAATGACATGTGTGTGGAGCGCGTATATAGTCTAATGAGGGAAAGCGCTTCGTAAATGTAAATAAAACTAACAGACTGTTGGGGCAAGTGCTGTTAGCGAGCACCTATGAAGGTTGGGAGGGGGTGGGTGGCCAGCACCACGCCCGGCCGCCTTTGTCTCCCCAGCGCTGATGATTACACACGGCACCAGGTACTCATTTGAGGCTGAGTCGACCTAGGGGAGGCCCAGGACCGGTTCAGATAATCGTCACCGGTGTTGACCGTGAGCGGGTCGCCGGGTTCGTAGCGCAGTTGAGCGCTGACCGCTACACCACCGCTCCCCACAACGGTTTACACTCACACACACGCACACACGTAGACACACGCACACGCGTAGACACACACACACGTAGACACATACACTCACGCACACACGTAGACACACACTCACACACAATCTATGGCGATGTTTTCACTGAGAGTTCACCACGAGTTGCACGTTTTTGGAACCGGCTGAGAACTCGAGAGGGCCACGTTTAAGTCTCGTTCAGCAATATTGGTCCGCCACGTACGTGGAGAGAGGTGATTCACAAACACTCCAATGAACGCATACTCGAGTACCGGTGTCACTGTGTTTGGGTTGAGCGAATTCTTGACTTGTTGAGTCACAGCATCGCCATGCAATGCCCTGCGGTATTCACAAACGTGTGTGCCAAATATCCAGACTCCTTTTACCCAAGCTCTCTTATAATAATGCTCGTAATAACCCAGCTCAATTCAAGAAACCTGTTAACATACTCTTTGGTTCTATTCGGTAAAGTCACGTAGGTAAAAAAATAAAACCCTTATCTCTTACAACCATTATAGTGCTGGTTGTTGCTGGCAGCTTGACGTTTTAGGCGTGTGCTCAGCACCTCTTGTCGTGTACGTGCACTTTATATTTCAAGAGTTTTATTTCGCAATGGGCAGAGGGGGGGGGATTTTTTTTATGGAACTTCTTGTTTTTCTGACCAAACGGCGCTAGGGAAATTCGCGATTCGGACCGCGGGGTCTGGCGCCCACTCGATCGTCACCTCGGCTTTCGTTCACTTCCTGCAGGTGGCGGGCGGTTTGACCGTGACGGCAGTGTCGTTGGTGGTGGTTTTGGCGGTGGTGGTTGTGGCGATCCAAGCTGTTTCTCCACACCTCTTTGGTGAGGCCCTCGCGCTATCTCAACGGTGACCCCCCCCCCAGACCCACTGTGGCCTGCGCTCCTTCAACGCGGGAGGAGCGGAACAGCTACGCCAACTCTCTCTCTCTCTGATGCCCTCTCGTCGTGGGCAAAACAGCAGCAGCAGCAAACCTCGATACCGTGTGGCAGTTTACTTCCTGGTCGTATTACTGCTGCCATCATCATCATAATACGCAAGAGCAAAGTGATGTCCTGGTCAATTGAGAATTGAGGCGTTGGTGCTCATCTCCCGGAACCCCCGTCTGCCCTGCACCACCGTTATCAGCTGTTTTAGAGAGTGTGGCTTATTTGTGGAATAAGTCACTGTTTTGACAGACACACAACGCCGCGATGAGCATCCGTTGCCATCCCAGCCCCGGGTCAAAAAATGCCAGTTCGTTCAACTCCGTGGCAGGAGCGTTTCAGATACGATTTGCCCACCCTGAGAAGTGGACAAATGCCTTCCATTCTTAATTGGGGTGCACATTGGGCCACGTACTTTGGCGGAACAAAAGAAAACCCCACTCCCGAGATTTTACCGATTTCTCGCCGAGAGCGGTTCACGTAGCTGCCCAAGCGAGACGGTTCCACTTCAGCGGAGTGATCTCACTTCACCATCACCCCGAGGGCATCCAGCCACGGCTGTGGCTTAAGTAGGCATAGAACCCGTGGCACGGGGAGAGTAGGAGGGGGCGACGGGGTGGACAGTCGTGCTTACAACTCAGTCCACAACCCGACCCAAGGACCGACAGATTCCCGCCACCGGGCTGCACACAACGCTGGCATTTTTAGTGGACGTCTTTCCCCCCCACGTCCCATGATTCGATCATCCGTCGTGATTTTGGCGTCGTGTTTATCAAGAATCAAGGTTTTTTTTTTCTCTAGGGGGTCATTAGCAACGTCGTCTCATGTAAGTTGTCTCATTTGTACCGTGTGTCTCGTGTTTATGGTCTGTCGCATTAGTATTATCGATCCCGTGTGTTCGGTCTCGTATTTGGCAAACTTGTTTGTATTGTCCGTCTCGTCTGTTGGTATTATTCCGTTTGATTACCCAGAAAGGCGTCACCGAATCCTAAATAATCTTTTGGTGAAATTTTTCACGCCAAATGTTGGGGGGGGGGAGGCAATGTTGTTGCCGTGTCCAATCCAAGTTGACTACAAGTTCAAAGTAAAGATTATCAGCCGTGCGACGTGTTTGGCCATTGCCAGTTACATTGTTTCTTCGAGCTATTAGGAGTAAACCAGAGAACCCGGAGGGCACCCATGCAGAGAATAGAGAGAGAACAGAAAGACACCAGTCGGATATTAAACCCAGGCCCCTTGTCGTCGTGAGCCGCGAGTGTTACCACTGCCACCCACCCTCGTTGCCTTGCTCATGTTCTCATTTTTACCGCCGCCTTTGTGTGTTTTTCCGAATTCTCGTGCGCCGTAAACGTAACTCCCACCGATGGTTGCTGATCGTTAAACCGCAAGGCCTGCCTCCCTTGACGTCGCCACTGTCAGCGCAGGGCACGGCTATAGGATTGAGACACATTCCACGAGGCCCTGGACATCTCGAGATGCTCTGTGATGCCATCGATCCGTGTGAGAGTCATGATGACGCCGGGCTGCAGCCAGACCAAAGTCTTTGAAAACACTTTCCTTCAGAAGTGTTTTTTGTGTTTAGTTTGTTGTCCTTCCCCCGCGCCTCCGATTATCACGGTTTGCTACGTACAGTGAAACCTTGGATTGCGAGCATAATTCGTTCCGGAAACGTGCTCGTAATCCAAAGCACTCGTATATCAAAGCGAATTTCCCCATAAGAAATCATGGAAACTCAGATGATTCGTTCCACAACCCAAATATACTGTATTCATATAAAATGATTAATACAAAATACCTTTTTATATTTGTATTTTTTTTATTTAATATAAAGTAATCAAATTTATGAGTTACATTTAATCGTGGCTGGTGTGAGGGAGACGAGAGAGAGGAGGGTTATTGTGTAGAACGACTTTCACTTGCAGTACAGTTACTAAAGAACAGTCACTACACTTGGACACAAAATAAAAAAAAATGCTTTACGCACACACACGTGGTCACAACACTGTAGTAAACAGTATACACGTGGTCACAACACTATAGTACTGTAGTAAACAGTATACACGTGGTCACAACACTATAGTATTGTAGTAAACAGTATACACGTGGTCACAACACTATAGTACTGTAGTAAACAGTATACACGTGGTCACAACACTATAGTACTATAGTAAACCGTATACACGTGGTCACAACACTATAGTACTGTAGTAAACAGTATACACGTGGTCACAACACTATAGTACTGTAGTAAACAGTATACACGTGGTCACAACACTATAGTACTATAGTAAACAGTATACACGTGGTCACAACACTATAGTACTGTAGTAAACAGTATACACGTGGTCACAACACTATAGTACTGTAGTAAACAGTATACACGTGGTCACAACACTATAGTACTGTAGTGGTTGAACTTTACACGAACAACTTTTGTCTTTCTTCAACCACGTCTTTATTTTCATCGTTAACACGTCCTCCACACTCCACCGTATCCCGGCCACCGCGGCTCGCTCGCCGTGCTTCGCCCGTCTCGCTCACCACCTTGGTTCACAGTATCACGTCGCTCTGCTCCGCACACACGTCTTCAACTCTATCCCCACGCTCTCTCCACTGCTGGCTGTCCTCCTCAGCTCCTCCGCTATACAGCGTCGTCGCACACAGCGGAACCCAGTCTCACTTCTCTGTCTCCGCACGCCTCGTCTCCAGCTCCTCTATCACTACGCTCTCTCCACTGCTAACTGCTTCGTCTTGCTTCAGCTTCGCTATCACTATGCTCTCTCCACTGCTAACTGCTTCGTCTTGCTTCAGCTTCACTATCACTACGCTCTCTCCACTGCTAACTGCTTCGTCTTCACTATCACTATGCTCACTCCACTGCTAACTGCTTCGTCTTGCTTCGCTATCACTATGCTCCAACTCTCTTCTAAACTCTGTTTCCGAACTCCACGTCTTCACCGCACAGCTCCCAACTCCAATCTCCCCCCTCTCTCTCTCTCTGTCTCCCCTCAATGTATCCCCGTTCTCATTATCGCTAATTAATTGGTCCGCGTGCCTCCGCACGCCTCGCGTCTTCAACCACCTGCCTTTTTCCAGACACCTCGACGCCTCCTCGGCCCCAGCAACAGCAGCAACCAATCACAGCCCTTCTGGCTTAATTGGCCCGACCGTTACGTCATCACCCCAGCCTCTTCACCTGGCTGACCTAACACGACCCCACTGTTAAAGCCGTCTCCTCAGGCTGACCCCAGATAAACCCCACACCGTCCGTGTGATCAATACACTCGCGCAGTTTCCCCAGCACACCTTCCTACTCCACTACAGTACTGTAGTAAACAGTATACACGTGGTCACAACACTATAGTACTGTAGTAAACCGTATACACGTGGTCACAACACTATAGTACTGTAGTAAACAGTATACACGTGGTCACAACACTATAGTACTGTAGTAAACAGTATACACGTGGTCACAACACTATAGTACTGTAGTAAACAGTATACACGTGGTCACAACACTATAGTACTGTAGTAAACAGTATACACGTGGTCACAACACTATACTGTAGTAAACAGTATACACGTGGTCACAACACTATAGTACTGTAGTAAACAGTATACACGTGTTCACACCACTATAGTAAACAGTATACACGTGGTCACAACACTATAGTACTGTAGTAAACAGTATACACGTGGTCACAACACTATAGTACTATAGTAAACAGTATACACGTGGTCTCAACACTATAGTACTGTAGCAAACAGTATACACGTGGTCACAACACTATAGTACTGTAGTAAACAGTATACACGTGGTCACAACACTATACTGTAGTAAACAGTATACACGTGGTCACAACACTATAGTACTGTAGTAAACAGTATACACGTGTTCACACCACTATAGTAAACAGTATACACGTGGTCACAACACTATAGTACTGTAGTAAACAGTATACACGTGGTCACAACACTATAGTACTGTAGTAAACAGTATACACGTGGTCACAACACTATAGTGCTGTAGTAAACAGTATACACGTGGTCACAACACTATAGTACTGTAGTAAACAGTATACACGTGGTCACAACACTATAGTACTGTAGTAAACAGTATACACGTGGTCACAACATTATAGTACTGTAGTAAACAGTATACACGTGGTCACAACAATATAGTACTGTAGTAAACAGTATACACGTGGTCACAACACTATAGTAATGTAGTAAACAGTATACACGTGGTCACAACACTATAGTACTGTAGTAAACAGTGTACACGTGGTCACAACACTATAGTACTATAGTAAATAGTATACACGTGGTCACAACACGATAGTGCTAAAGTAAACAGAACTACCCAACTATCATACAATAAGCCGTATGATAGTTGGGTAGTTCTTTAGCGTCAATATACTAAATGCCTCTGATGATATGTAAACTCTGACTTTAAAATAGCTACTTCCGTGACCAGTTACATGCTAATCCCTCACATTAACATCATGCTAATCTCCCAGTTACATGCTAATTTCTGACTTTAACACCCTGCTAATCCAACACATTAACACAGCTACTTCAATGCTAAATTCTTCTGTTGATATGTAAACTCCTTTGTCAAAGCACTCTGCTCATCCCACCCAGCTCAAAAGACGCTGCGAAGCTTAGCAGTTTCATTGAATCGCTGTCGTCCCGACAGTTCTGTTCCTTCACCTGAAGAAGGCTACTTGTGTTGTGGCCGAAACGTCGTGATAATTTTATTTTATTATGTTTCATTTTTATTATTTTATTTCCATTCTACGTGACTTTACCGAAAGAACCAAGAAGTACACACGTGGTCACAATACTATACCGTAGTAAACAGCACACACGTGGTCACAACACTATAGTACTGTAGTAAACAGTATACGCTCGCACGGATGTTCACTATACGAGTGAGGCACGCCGATTGAGACCGAGCATGGAAGATGATTACCCACAATCCCGCAGCGAGAGAGAGAGAAGAACCATTGGCTCAGTCGTGATCACGTGACGCTCGGCAGACAAAGCGTATACTTTACGTACTGCTCATATTGCAAGACATTTTGCTCGTCTTGCAAAACACTCGCAGACCAAGTTACTCTTAATCCAAGGTTTCACTGTTCTGGTGTGAAAGAAGTTAAACATACATACATACGTACACACAACACAACAGCTGGACACTCAAATGAGCTGTGCTCACTTTGTGTTCATCAATTTGTTCTCCTTTATCATCCTTTTTTTCCTCCCATCTTCCCCCTACCTCGTCGCCGTCATCTTCACCGCCGTTAAGGGCTGTGTCGCGGCCCTGGAGAGTTGTAGCACGCTCGTCCGTTTCTTGTAGAGGCTCGCGATTTGAATCCAGCGAACCGCCCTGGTTATTATGGTGGTGTGCAATAACCACAATGATACCGCTTTCGGGTGGACGTTAAAGATCCCCTGATGCCATTCGCAAGAGTAGGCCATCGTGTGTCAGCGTCAGGGTCCAAACGTGACAAATTCGACAAAAAAGCTATTCAGCTAATTACTCAATTGGGATTATACGCAGCAGCAGCAATCATCGTTCCCTCTACTGGCAGGTTCATGCCGCAGGTCACTCTTGGAAGTGAGACTCACCCTGGTATCGTGAGTTCTGACACGGCTTCAGACGAAATCGACGTAACCCAACTTCGCCCGCGGGGTGTCACGGCTGTCCAGGGCACCATGCTGTGCGAGGAGTTCATCCGAGCCAAGGCAGCAGCGATGGCGCCATCTCGGCAGTTCAAGCTCGGGAAGAAGCCTCGAGGAAGAGGGGGAGGAGGTGACGACAAGGCCGCGCTTGGAGGCGTCACGAGGCAAGACCGCAGCCTCAGCTGGGAGGACCTGACGCCGCTGTTCCCTCCGCCGTCGCCGTCATCGCCGCCGCCGCCGCAGCAGCAGCAGCAGCGGCGGCGCGAACCGGGACGCGGCGCGGGCACGAACACCTGGCGGCGGCCGCTGGGGTCGCGCAGCGGTACGCCGGCGAGCAGGCCCGGCGTCGCGTGGCATCGCGCGCCACAGCCGAATGCGGGCGACGAGTCCACGGCCGGAATGGCGAAGGTAAACAACAACGGACAAACAACAAAAACATGCAACAGAAACGTGTACGTGTTATCGATCGAGCTGTGTGAAATATAAGAATATGCTTTACCCTTTCTGGCAATAAAGCAGGTGTTAAGGTGTTAAAATAACACCAAGCAAATACCTTTTGCATCGTTACACCTGTTTTATTGCCAGAAAGGGTGAAACCTATTCTTATTTTTCATACTTTGATACTGGCAAACAAAAGGTCCCGTGACAAGCTGTGTGAGTTTGTACCAGGTTATAAGACTATCCGTAAAATAAGTCAATACCCCCCAAAATTGTATCCGGTGTCAATAAAGCTTTACAAATCTGCTCACACACGGCTACCGGATTCCAAGACGCAGCCCCTCAACTTTTTATTTCGGCTACAGGCAAATCATCCAACGAATGTGCTAGTCGTGAGTGTGATCGCTAATTTACAAATTTAGGTTACTCCACTTCCCAAAATGAGAGTCCACCTAAACCAAAGTCTACTTGAAGGCACTTTGGTAGAGTATAGGGCCCGGAGTAATGTATGTATATATGTATTTATGTTGAACTTCTTAAGCACCGTATGTAGGCAATCGTGCTAACTGGAGGAGTGTTTGTGTTGTCGTCGCAGTCAGGGGGGGCGCCAGTCCACCAAATGGCAATACCAAAAAAAAGTCACACTTTTGACACTGAATATGGGTTCATATGGGAGACATGACAGCAGAGTGCTGTGCATACTATCAGAAAGAGGAGGCTGCGATCGAGCAGCACCCACCCAGAGCTCATTAGCCGAGCCAGATGGAGGGACAGCGCGAGGGCAGATGTTGGAGCTCACGTCTGCCCGTCGAAGTGAAATCGGTCCACAGAATTCGGGGTGTGGCCCACATTGGCAGGTGACTTGAGTTGACAAAACCACCTGCAATAGCGTCACCAGGAGACGGCATCTCGAGCTCAAACGCGAGCCGTGTGGCTCACGGAAGCTTGGTTTTATTTCACCACACGGTGGCATTACTTGTTCACGTTTTACTCGGCAGGCTGCAGAGTTTTCTCGGGAAACAAACTGTGGTTTCGTCCGACACTTGAAGAAACTTTTAAAAAGGAAGCATTGGCATCCCGGGCAGAACTCAAGCGAAAAAGAAAAACGAAAACGATCGCAATGACTCATTGAGGCTTTTCCATGTGGAGTGAAAGGACAACTGGCCTAATTTTGATTTAAACAAAAAAATATCTCCTACCTCTTCTTTTAAAGAGGCACTCGCTCAAGCACGGATCGCGGGAGTACGCGGGCCCCGGCAAGTCGAGCTCCCCCTCCATCGTCATCCCCCACCAAAGGCTGGACGCCGCTAGCGGGGGCGGCGTGGCCGCTCATTGCGTGTCGCCCATGAGCTTCAGCCTCCGCTACGACGACATCCACGTGGGCAGCGTGGAGTCGGCCAGGCCGACGGTGCCGCCGCCGCCGCCGACCGCGGAGGCTACCCGCGACAAGGCGGGGTCCCGGCACGACGCGGGCACCCGGCCTAAGTCGTTCCACGGCGGCAAGGTGGGTGCGGGCTTGTGGGCCCGCGGGCCCGATGTCTCCCCGAGCTGTGCACCCCCATTTGCCACCCCCACACTTTGTTACAGTGATGATGAGTGTTTCCACGAGGGTTCTCACGATAATGCTAATGAGTGTTTTTCCCTGATTGTTTTCGTGATGATGATGTAACCATGATTGTAATCGTAATGATGATGATGTATCCATGATGGTGCTCGTGATGACAATGATGTATTCATGATGGTGATCGTAATGATGATGAATCCATGATGGTGATCATGATGATGATGATATGTCCATGATAGTGCTCGTGATGATAATGAAGTATCCATGATGGTGATTGTGATGATGATGTATCCATGATGGTGATCGTGATGATGATGATGTATCCATGATGATGATCGTGATGATGATGTATCCATGATGGTGATCGTGATGATGACGATGTATCCATGACGGTGATTGTAATGATGATGATGAGCGCTGCTCTTGCAGGATGTGCCAGGAGATTCTCTGTTGCTCATAACCCACCCTGGGTCCAACAGCGCCGTTCATTCCGAGTCGCTGCTCAACAACTACCTCCGAAAAAAGGTGCGAGTTGACCTGCTGATCCCATCGCCCAACCCACTCGTGCTTACTCTTTGGTTCTATTTGTGCTTCTGAATACCTATGGCTATGCATCTGCGCGTGTTATCTGTGTGCTTGCATACTGCAGATGCATTGTCCCATGCATTACGCCTGTCAATGAGCTCCTACGGCAGGTGTATTTTAATGTCATAAAAACACTCTACCCCCTCGATTCCCTATGAGTTATGGAGTAGTTGTGAAGTGAGTGGCGAGGTTTCTGTACCTGGGCAGTGTGCTTATGACTAGCTCCGTTTTGGCATCTGAGGTCTAACTCCAAATCAGTCGAACGGCATTGTATTTTCATCAGCTGCATCACGCTGTGTGGAAGCTACCTGATCTATCTCTCCATATAAAGTTCCGGATCTTCTTGGCCACGGTCATGCCCTCCCATCTCTGCCCTCGTGAAACGTGGACCCCTCTATTAATAGAACATCTGCGCTGGTTCAAAACATTCAGGCTGGCCTGCATACAATCCATCCTGGGTTTTACCAGACTGGATTCTGTGAGCTCAGAAAATCTTAGAGACATCTCGACACAGTCCCATAAGTGAGCTTCTCCGTCAGGCGAGGCTGCATCGGCTGGGTCATGTAGCCCACATGCCCAACCACTGCATGCTCAAACAGCTCCTGTTTGGCCGGATAGAGGGGGCTATATGGGCACACCATGATCTGCAGAAATGTGCCGATGTGGTACATGAGATGTGGATCTGATCAGACTTGCTGATAATTAGATTATGTAACACAATTTTTGTTCCTGGGTAGTAAGTGTTATTCCCTAATTGCTTATGCCCAAAAAGTATAGAAAATGGCTATTATTCCCCACAAACTTTGCTTTTGTGACGAGGACAATGATATTTTTAAATTGACCTATTTTGAATGAGAAAACTGGCGAATTTTTATCTTTTCGTTCACATAAAGTAAAAAAAAACATATGAATCAAAATGTACGTATATTTATACTAAAGTAATACAAAAAATGACTACAAAAGATTTAGAAGTGAGTAGTTTTTCGAGATTTACGATTATACTGTAAATCACTTTCACGAATCAGCCCCCAAATGTAGTCTCCCATCATGTTCTCGTTATACTGTCCTTGGTAGCGGCGTTCAAAGTCCAGTATATCCTGGAGGAAGTGCTCGCCTTGCTCCTCCGAGTATGCTCCCATGTTCTCCTTGAATTTACCAAGATTACCATCAAGGATATGGACTTTGAGGGACATCCTACAGCCCATTGTGCCGTAGTTCTTCACCTCAACCAGCTCCATGTAGTTTTCGACCTTGTGATTGCCCAGGAAGCCACGAACCACTGCGACAAAGCTGTCCCAAGCCGCTTTCTCCTTACTAGTGAGCTTCTTGGTGAATTCATTGCACTCTAGGATCTATTTTATCTGTGGTCCGACGAAGACACTGGCTTTGACCTTTGCCTCAGACAGCTTATGGAAGAAGTCTTGAAGGTACTTGAAGGCTGCTGACTCCTTATCTACAGCTCTGACAAATTGTTTCATAAGGCCCAATTTGATGTGCAGTAGTGGCATCAGCACCTTCCGGGGGTCCACCAGTGGCTCCCACTTGACGTTGTTCCTCCCCACAGAGAACTCGGTCCACTGTGGCCAGTCCCGCCTGTGGTAGTGTGTTTGGCAAAGATAGCAGGGAAATTTGGTAAAACCGCCTTGGAGACGCATCAGGAATGCCACCATTTTGAAGTCTCCTATGACCTCCCAGCCGGACTTATCATACTTCAAGGCGTCCAGCAAGGTCTTGATGCTGTTGTAATCATCTTTGAGGTGCACCGAGTGAGCCAGAGGAAGAGATGGGTACTTGTTACCATTATGGAGCAGCACGGCTTTGAGGCTCCTGGATGAGCTGTCAATGAAGAGGCACCACTCATTCTCTATTTATATTACTATTTATATTACTGGAAAGTTCTAGAATGTTCTAGAAGTTACTCCAAGTTTACTCAGCACTGAATCTATCTGTAATGTTCTGAAAGATAGTTACATTTCAAAATATCACTGTCCTGGTCACAAAAGGAAAGTTTGTGCGGAATAATAGCCTTTTTCTGTACTTTTGAGGCATAAGCAATTAGGAAATAACACTTACTACCCAGGAACAAAAAAAACATTTGTTACACAGTGTTATCAGTACCAGCGGTGTCATGCTGCTGGGCAGTTGGGAGGCAGTCGCCCTCCAACAACAATAGAGGGCAGAGGAGCGACGCCCACAACAATGAGCGGAGCGCTGAGCGGCTAAAACGCAGGAAGTTACCGCAATGGACAGCACAGGCGATGCATTTGCCAGTCTTCTCAGTCTGTCAACCCGTGGCAACAGGTTCTGTCCCGTAATCTCCTGCCAGCAACGAGCCTTTGACACTTCACGTGACCTCACGTTGCCTCAAAAGTGCACCGAGCCGAATGGCGACAGTTGTTGTTGTTGTGGGGCACTGGTGTAAGTGGTAAGTGCACCGTGCCATGAACCCCGGCAACCTGAGTTGGATTCTCGACTCTGGCTAACATCAGTTTTAGTCATATCAGAGCTGATCCTGGGCCTCTCTTGAGTTGACTCGGCCTTGAATGAGTACCTGGTTCAGCGTGTGAACGTTAGCACTGAGAAGACAAAGGCGGCCAGGAGTGACCCTGGCCACACCACCTCGTGCTCCATGCCAGCCTTAATAGGTCCATTCGCTAACAACACTTTCCCCGCCAGTTTGTAAAGTCTAAACGGGGGATGTTTGGCGTTTTGTGTTGTCTGTGCGTAGATGGAGGAGATTGAGCACGCCATGCTGCTCTCCCCTGGCCGCTCTCCCCAGAGCCTCATGGCTCGACTCCAGCACCTCTCCCTGTACAACACCGAGCAGCCCAGCCTGGTGGTACAGAGCCCGAGCACGCGGCAGTCAGACTACCTCTAGCCTACCTACAGCCTAACTCTAGTCTAACCCTAGTCTTGCTCTAGCCTAGCCTAGCTCTAGCCTAGCTCTAGCTCTAGCCTAGCTCTAGCCTAGCTCTAGCCTAGTTCTAGCCCTAGCCTAGCTCTAGCCTAGCTCTAGCCTAGTTCTAGCCCTAGCCTAGCTCTAGCCTATCCCTAGCCTAGTTCTAGCCCTAGCCTAGCTCTAGCCTAGCCCTAGTCTAGCTCTAGCTCTAGCCTATCCCTAGCCTAGCTCTAGCCTAGCTCTAGCTTAACCCTAGCCTAGCTCTAGCTTAGCTCTAGCCTAACCCTAGTCTAGCTCTAGCTTAGCCTAGCTCTAGCCTAACCCTAGCCTTGCTCTAGCCTAGTTCTAGCTCTAGCCTAGCTCTAGCCTAGCCTAGCTCTAGCCTAGCTCTAGCCTAGTTCTAGCCCTAGCCTAGCTCTAGCCTAGCCCTAGCCTAGCTCTAGCCTAGCTCTAGCCTAGTTCTAGCCCTAGTCTAGCCCTAGCATAGCTCTAGCCTAGCCCTAGCCTAGCTCTAGCCTAGTTCTAGCCCTAGTCTAGCTCTAGCCTAACCCTAGCTCTAGCTTAGCTCTAGCCTAGCCCTAGCCTAGCTATAGCCTAGCTCTAGCCTAGCCCTAGCTCTAGCCTAGCTTAGTTCTAGCTCTAGCCTAGCTCTAGCTCTAGCCTAGCCCTAGCCTAGCCATAGCCTAGTTCTAGCCTAGCCTAGCCCTAGCCTAGCTCTAGCCTAGCCCTAGCCGAGCTCTAGCCTAGCTCTAGCCTAGCCCTAGCCTAACCCTAGCCTAACACTAGCCTAGCTCTAGCCTAGCTCTAGCCTAACCCTAGCCTAGCTGTAGCCTAGCTCTAGCCTAGCTCTAGCCTAACCCTAGCCTAACCCTAGCCTAGCTCTAGCCTAAGCCTAACCCTAGCCCTAGCCTAGTCCTAGCCTAGCTCTAGCCTAGCCCTGGCCTAGCCCTGGCCTAACTCTAGCCTAGCCCTAGCCTAGCTCTAGCCTAGCCCTAGCCTAGCTCTAGCCTAGCTCTAGTCTAGCTCTCCCCTAGCCCTAGCCTAACCCTAGCCTAGCCCTAGCCTAGCTCTAGTCTAGCTCTAGCCAGGCCCTAGCCTAGCTCTAGCCTAGTTCTAGCCCTAGTCTAGCTCTAGCCTAACCCTAGCTCTAGCCTAGTTCTAGCCCTAGTCTAGCTCTAGCCTAACCCTAGCTCTAACCTAGCTCTAGCCTAGCCCTAGCCTAGCTCTAGCCTAGCCCTAGCTCTAGCCTAGCTCTAGCCTAGCTCTAGCCTAGCCCTAGCCTAGCCCTAGCCATAGCCTAGTTCTAGCCTAGCCTAGCCTAGCCCTAGCCTAGCTCTAGCCTAGCTCTAGCCTAGCCCTAGCCTAGCCCTAGCCTGGCTCTAGCCTAGCCCTAGCCTAACCCTAGCTCTAGCCCTAGCCTAGCCCTAGCCTAGCTCTAGCCTAGCCCTAGCCTAGCTCTAGCCTCACTCTAGTCTAGCCCTAGCCTAACCCTAGCCTAGCCGTAGCCTAACCCTAGCCTAGCCCTAGCCTAGCTGTAGCCTAGCTCTAGCCTAGCTCTAGCCTAACCCTAGCCTAGCTGTAGCATAGCTCTAGCCTAGCTCTAGCCTCACTCTAGTCTAGCCCTAGCCTAACCCTAGCCTAGCCGTAGCCTAACTCTAGCCTAGCCCTAGCCTAGCCGTTGCACTGCCTAGCCCTAGCCTAGCCCTAGCCTAACCCTAGCTCTAGCCTAGCGCTAGCCTAGACCTAGCACTGCCTAGTCCAAGCCTAGCTCCAGAGCACGCGCCAGCCAGACTACTCTACCCTATTCTTAGCTCTTTCGGTAAAGTCACGTTGAAGGGAAACAATAAAATAATAAAAGATATATAAAACAATAGTCTAGCTCTCCCCTAGCCCTAGCCTAACCCTAGCCTAGCCCTAGCCTAGCTCTAGTCTATTATTATTTTCTTGTTTCCCTTCATCGTGACTTTACCGAAAGAGCTAAGAATATGAATTACTGCAGTCACGAAAGCTTTAAATCAAAATTTACTCTACCCTAGCCGAGCCCTAGCACCACCTAGCCTGAGCCTAGCCCTAGCACCACCTAGCTCTAACCAAGCCCTAGCACCACCTAGCCTGAGCCTAGCCCTAGCACCACCTAGCCCTAACCAAGCCCTAGCACCACCTAGCCTGAGCCTAGCCCTAGCACCACCTAGCCCTAACCCAGCCCTAGCACCACCTAGCCTGAGCCTAGCCCTAGCACCACCTAGCCCTAACCCAGCCCTAGCACCACCTAGCCTGAGCCTAGCCCTAGCACCAACTAGCCCTAACCAAGCCCTAGAACCACCTAGCCTGAGCCTAGCCCTAGCACCAACTAGCGCTAACCCAGCCCTAGCACCACCTAGCCTGAGCCTAGCCCTAGCACCAACTAGCCCTAACCAAGCCCTAGAACCACCTAGCCTGAGCCTAGCCCTAGCACCAACTAGCGCTAAACTAGCCCCAGCACCACCTAGCCCTAACCTAGTATTTCCTTACACAGAGACGTAGTCCAGCGTTTCCCCTACACTATCCACCACCCCGAGACCAAGCTCGTCCCACGTTACTTGGTATCTGCTCGCGAGTAGCCGCTGCGTCAACAGTCCGTAGAGGCTCGAGAGGGACCCGCGATTCCCGAGTGCACGCACGTGCGCGCGCCTTCCCGCCCGCTGCGCATGCGCACGCGTTAATTAATGCGCACGCTCGTTATGCAGGCGACGGGGTTGGAGAGCCACGGGCGGATGGGCGAGGAGGTCTCCTCGAGTGTGCTGAGCACCCCGGTGCTGCAGATCTCGGAGGAGAACTCGCAGGACCGGGTGGCGAGGCTCCACGGCGCGCGGTTCACGCTGCCGCCCTGCGCCAGGGAGGGAGCCCTGCGATCACCGGCGCCGTCACCGCTGCCGCCGGCGTTGTCCGTCTGCGCCGGTGAGGGGCCCGAGAGGGAGGCCCGGGATCTCGGCGCGGTGTGGCCGGGGGCAGCGGGTTAAGGGGGCCGGGCGACGCAGGCGAACCGGGCGACGCGGGCACCGACATCCTTCGCGCCCGCTCTATGCATACGGCGGGGGACTCGTATAAAAATACCCACCCCCCCTTCCTCTGCCCCCGGTCTTAGAATGTTGATTACCTCTTCCCCGCCCCCTCTTCTCCCACCACCCCCCCCCCCCCCCCCCCCCAATATACCGAAGCCTTCCCCCCACCGCCCAACGGATCGCACAGGTTGGGTTGTGTCAAGGTCTTGCATCCCTAAAGCGCCCGAAGTCCTCCCCCCCCACCCCGTCCGTAGTTTTTCTGCCTGCCTACAGTGCAACGATCGACGCGTTGTACCGGGCTTTGCATGTTTACCACAACAACAACAACAAAAAGATGCAATCCTCGACACCGACAGCCTTGTGCGGTCGCTCTACGCGTACGGCCTAGACACGTCGAAACAAAATAATCCACGACGCTGACAGCCCTGCGTAGCTTCAGCCGAGGTGGGCGGGGGGAGGCAGTCGACCAAGTTGATAAACTAGGCGAGGCGCAGGGTCTACCTCGATGCTAGGCCTCGCTTTATAGTAACTCCCGCGCTCGATCCTCCTCGGTTTGTTTATCGAGCACATTGACCCCGCCTCATCGAGGTTACCTCTCTCCCTTGTACTTGTGTCACCAGTTGCGTCCCACTTGTGTTGTTGATCATGCTACGAGGTTGAGTAGCGTCTTTCCTGAACGCCGAGCAGCTATCGGCGTCACAGAACTAGTTGTGAGGTTACTCCCATTTCCATCCAACGTAACTCTTTCCTCCTGTCACGAGTCGCTACCCAGATTGAGGCAGAAGAAGTGAGTTGGCTCAGATCCCATTCATTGTTCGTGTTTGTTGTTTACATGAGTTGTGTTTCAAAAAACTATTTACATTTTTTTATTTTACCAGGTAGGCTCCACTGAGCCATGTAGCTCATTTACAGCAGCGACATGGCCACAAATGACAGCTCAGCAAAGTGGCTCATCGCGTGGAGAGTTATAGCAGCCAAATACTCTAAACGCATATCTCTAAATGTTGAAGGGAATACCGGAGGACTCGGAGAAAAATTCACGCGACTTATGGGGAGAGAGACACGCAAACTCCAAATATACAGCAGGTGTCAGGGTAGGGATCGAACCCACGACCTGCATACCAGGCGAGGTAGTTAACATCTCGGCACCGTGGCTCCTCACAAATATATTCACTTTCATGGCAGCAGCAGGGACATAGAGGTCTGGCAGGGAACGTATGTATGCACGTTGAACTTCTTTCTCAATTTAGTAGCCAACCGTGCTAATCGGAGATGCAGGAGAAGGACAACAAACTGAACACAAAGAGCAGTTCTGCGTGGATTTTCCCAATGCCCGAGTGACTCTTCCCCGTTCCCTCTGTGATGATTTGTGGCTGCACAGATGGACGCGTGGATTCTCACTGCAGGAATGAGGAGGACGCGATGGGAGATTTCCCCTTATCATTGTCGCTCACAGAAAGCCAGAGGCTCAAGTCCGACAGCATCAGCAAGATGCTGCAGGTGGGAGCAGCACTGACTGCTAGCACTCACACACAAGATGCACGTAAAAACAAAGATCCCCCGTATAGCCTTTAAGAGACAGTTAAGGCAAGTGCTGTTAGTGAGCACCTATGAAGACCGGCACGGCACACGAGGGTGTGGGCGGCCTACACCACGCCCCGGACAGCCTTTGTCTCCCCAGTACTGATGTTTACACACTGCACCAGATTACTCCTTTAAGGCTGAGTCGACCTAGGCGAGGACCAGGACCGGTTCAGGTATTCATCATCGATGTTTGCCATGAGCGGGAATCGAATTCAGGTCGCCTCGTTTGTCAGTACTGTGCACTTGCCCATTGCACTACCGCGCCCCACCATTACAAAGATGCACAAAGACAAAGATCCCCCATATAGCCTTCACATACTTTTGGGGCAAGTGCGGTTAGCGAGAAGCACTTATGAAGGCCGGCACAGCACCACGCCCGGCGCCTAGGTCGACGCTGAGTCGAGCAGAGGTCTCACTCGGAATCGGTCAAGCGGCATTATCTTTTCATCGGCTGCGCGATGCTGTGTAGAAGCTACCTGGTCTGTTGCTCCAAACGAAGCTTTGAGTCTTCTCGGCAACAGTCATGCCCTCTCTTCTCTACGCTTGCGAAACGTGGACCCCCCCTAATGGAGCATCTTCGCCGGTTAGAAACATTTAGGCTGGCCTGCCTACAATCCATCCTGGGTTTAACCAGGCTGGATTGCAAATCCTTGAAAGATCTGGACAAAGTCCCATCGGTGAACTCCTCCAGCAGGCGAGGCTGCGTTGGCTTGGATCATGTAACCCACATTCCCAGCTACCGCATGCCTAAACAGCTCTTGTTCGGCCAGATAGAAGGGGCTAAAAGGGGTGCGGCACGGGCTAGAGAAGAGATGGAGTGATGTAGTTCAATAGGACGTGGAGCTGAGTGGACTTGCCGATGACTGGTACCAGCGGTGTCAAGATCGGCCTCTGTGGAAGAGATTCGTGAAGGACGCTACTGGGCAGTTGGAGGTAGTCGCCCTCCAGAAACAACGGAGGGCAGAGGAGTGACGCTCGCAACAACGAGCTGAGCGCCGGGTGGATAAAACACAGCAAGTTGGCACAGTAGGGGGGGCACAGGTGGTGCATCTGGGTCTGTCTCATGACCTCCTGCCACGGGACAGACCCGTGGCCTCAAAGGGCATATGGCTTGGCACAGGCGTCGTGGTCACGTCTCCGCCACAAAGTGGCGGAGACGTGGCGTATGTTGTATGTATGTATGTTGAACTTATTTTGCACCGTACCTAGCCCAAGGGTGTTTATCGGAGTTGCAGGGGAAAGACACCAAACTAAACACAAAAAACACAGTTCGAAAGAAATGAGTTTTCAATATAGATGTGAAAGTGCACAACTCCAGCTGTTTTCTAACAACTCGCCGCCGTTCCCGCCCGCCCGCCCGCCCGCGCGTCTGTCGTGCAGCGCAGCGTCTCGCTGCCGAGCCTCCCCGCGCTGGCCGCGGGCCCCACGGGCTCCGCATCCACGCTGGAGTTGTATGACCAGCCCACGCTCGCCATGCTGCAGCGCTGCCGCTCCGCCACCGAGTACCTGCAGCAATTCACCTCGTGGGACCGCGACGCCGCCGCCGCCGTCAACGCCAACGGCGACGCCGACGCCCGAGGCGACGGGGAGGGAGCATCGTGCCGGAGCGGTGGCCCGGGCGGCCACTTCTCCACGTTCAGCGGCGAGCTCGGCTCGCACGACCTCCGCATCTCGTTCGGCTGAGACGGCGGGTGCCGTGACGGCACCCGCCGGTGGCAGCCGGGCTGCGCCGACCGACGCATCGCCCGAAGGGTCAGGGTTGGCGGGTGGGGGGGGGGGGGGGGGAGGGTAGGGGGAGGTCATCGAATGTTTTAATATGAGTCGAGGGCCCCCACGGAATCCTACGGGCGATTTGTGAGTGTTTTGTCAAGAGGCCCCTGCCGTTATTCGCAGAAGGATTGGAAGGAGTTACGGCTAGGGCGCCGTGACGATAATGAGGATGAGAGTGGTTGCAGGGCAGGAGGAGTGACTGGTGTGACGACGGCTATGATTGCGCACAGTTAAACAAGAGGGAAAATGAAGGAAGCGGATCTGTTGGTGGGACAGTGCGAGAAGTTGTAACGGGACTCTCCGCGGGAGACATTGAAGATCGCAATGGATGGGGGGGGGGGGTGGGTGTCATTAGACGTCAACCGTCGGTTTCGAAGATGACAACGGGATAGACAGGAAAGCCACTCCCCGGACATGAATAGTCAGCTGTGACCAGGGGCGGAACACGGGGGGGGGGTGGGGGGGGCTTAGCCCCCCCTGAAATTTTGGGAAAGTCGGTAATCAGGATAACCGGATATCTGGCTGCTGCAAAATGCTGCAGGCTGCCACCTCGTGCTGCCCTGCAGGCTGCCACCTCGTGTGCTGCCCTGCAGGCTGCCACCTTGTGCTGCCCTGCAGGCTGCCACCTTGTGCTGCCCTGCAGGCTGCTTGAGCGGCAGCCTTTCAAACTTATCGAACTTATTAGCCACATCAGCGGCTCCGACCTAATAATAAACTCTGCGTTCAAATCCAATAAAATTAGTTTTATACATTTGTGGCGCCCATTGGAAAACATACACTGGATATCTCAGAATATTGAAGTCAGCCACCCAAAAGTCAAAATCCTGGCTCCGCCCCTGGCTGTGACAGAAACCAAACTCCTCAATTAAGAACTCTTGTTCCCCAGAGTCCAGCCGACGTTCACTGAAAAAAATTGACAGTCAGTGATTTTGGCCAAACGCCGTTTAGTCATTATTGTTGATAAAATTATTATATTTCGATTAAATGCCCCAGTGACACGGTGAAGGAGTGGACATGTTGCAATTTGTTTTAGGTGGAATAATTTCCCCCCCCCCCTTCCAATTGGTGTATTCCTCCGGTGTAAAGCACCACGTCCGTGGCTTGTGGACGTGACGCCATGTCACTCGGGCTGTGGTTGTAACACCACGCGGCAAGCGGGCTGGGCGGCTTCCTTCTCAGAAACACCTCCGAGCAAGAGAGCTTCCCCAGAAACGCTCGCGAGTTTTCTTAAAGGTCAAACCACATTGTTTTTGCAATACGAAATACAAGTTACGGCAAAATGTGAACCTAAAACGACAGTTGTTCAGCGTAGCGCGTTCTTTGGCGTACGTACGGGGGGGGGGGGGGGGCCTTTACGGGCCCAAATCTGACGGAGGGAATTTACGGCAGCACCTTGGAAGCGAGGTCGGCCCTGAGAATTCTGGCCACGTGGAAGCCACGTGGAAGCTTTTCACAGACATTGTCACAGAACGTGATATCAGAACTTATGTCCGTTTGCCTGAGAACGTGCACGTGTGTACGTGTACCTCAAGTGACGAGTATCTGACTCAGCCTCAAATGAGTACATGGTGTGATGCGTAATCATCGTCACTGGGGAGATAAAGGCGGCCGGGCGTGGTGCTGGCCACCCACCCCTTTATGTGTCGTGTCAGCCTTCAGAGGTGCTGCTGCCGCTAACGGCACTTGCCCCAAAAATCTGTGAAGGCTGTACGGGGGATCTTTGTCTTGGTTGCCAAATCGTGGTGACATCAACGGCTTTGGCCGTGGTGACGTAATCTTGATCTTAAAAACTCAAGGGACATGGAGTTTGCTCACAGGGGCTCACAGAAGCAAGTGTAGCGCTCTTGGCCTGCTTGCAAATGTTTTAACGAGGAGAGTGCCACTGTGATCGTTTCGTGTAACTTTTTAACTTGTTATATTTTCTCAATAGTCTTTAGACAGAATGCTGTACCAGAGGTTTCACGCTGTGCAATAAATATAACGCCGCACACACGCGTCGAATAAAAAGCAAGGGACAAGTCCTTACTTACTAACAACTCCTCTATCATTTTTCATTGCTGGAGGGGTTGCCCCCCCTACCTGAAAATCCTGGCTCCGCCATTGTGTGTAAGGAGGTCGTGGGTTCGATCCCGATCCTGACCCTGTGTCTTTGGAGTTTGCATGTTTTCCCCGTGGTCGCGTGGATTTTTGTCCGGTTTTTCCCTTCACATTAAGAAACGTGCATTTAGAGTATTTGGTTGCTATAAATCTCCACACGATAAGCCACTTCGTTGAGCTATAATGTGTGGCCAGGTCGCTTCTGAAAAATAACTACAGAGCTCAGTGGGCCTTACCTGATAAAAAAAAGTTTTAGTTTATCTCTTCCTCTGCAATTCACAATAGGAAGCTTGAGTTTGACTTTAGGGAGTTAAGAGTGATCTTAGACGCAATGCACATTTACAGGTATTTTTTGTTTTAACTACAATCCACACAACAAACCCGTGTTTGAGGCATGTGATGAACATCTCTGTGAGGTGGTTGGTGCTGTCACTATTCAAAGGCGTGGACACGTGTTTTTTAACCATGCCGACACTGATCACGTGCATCGCGGCCGGACCACCCATTGGTTCGAGGCACGTGCGTGGTAGCCAATTAGGTGTGACCGAGCTGTGATTGGCCTAACTTGCACGTGTGGAGGAGCGAATGACGCCGGTCCACCAGCAGGCGATTAATTCACTTGTTGACTATTGGCTAATTTTTGCATCATTTTACAATTAAGAAGCCGATTGTCTGGAACCCGTGCGCGGAGTTCTGAATTGGAGTAATTAGGTGTTGAGGCAAACAGGTGGGTGTCATGGCTGAGTGTGGAGCTGCTCTCCCATTGCCTAGGGATGGCGAACAGCTCTTATTAAAAAAAGAGCTCAGAACACTGACAAAGCAGAGGAGTTGAAGACACTTTTAACTACCCACGGTGGAGGCTAGTTCCACCAGCAGTCACAACAGCAGCAGGCAGTGACAGCAGTTTTAACTTAAGGTGAGCAGAGTCAACTTAACACTGTGAACTGCCTAGGTTTACGCTGGAAACTCCCCACACTCCACCGTGTCACACGTTCAATATTCCGTAACACCAGGGTCCTTGAAAAGTGATAGAGGGACTCCAAACAGTGTGAATTACAGTGGCCGTCTGGGCCACAGTCTACCTATGGTCAAGGGCAAGAGCGGGGCAGGGCAGAGGTTAAGGAGCAGAAGGCTAACTAACCCCCCTCTAGCGCTGCCCTCTGGCAAGCAGGAAGCCGGTGCAGGAGGACGCTGCCCAACTTGCAACACACAAAAACCTCCATTTCGCTGTGGATTGGCGTGACACGGTGAAGGAGTATATGGCAGAACAACTACAGTTTCGCATTTTTCAGATAGGTCAAGCCAGATAACCGAGCAACGGGAGTGTATCATCGCTGCGATGAACTGGACTACTGTTGGATGTTGAACTTCTCTCGCACCGTACGTAGCTCAAGCGTGCTAGTCGGAGGTGGAGGAGGACAACAAACTAAACGCACAAAGCAGTTCTGAAGAAGCGAGTTATCAACTTTTGGATTTCAAAGTGCATAGCTATCTCCCAGGTGGACGTTGTGAACTGGTGGTGAGTTGCTGGTAGTGACTGGCGGAGCGAGAAGTGGTCGAGGTGGCGTGCTTGGAGCCATCTGGTGGATTGTGGCGGTGGTGGCTCGTGTGGAAAGTTGTGGGCTAGAAGGGGCTCCCCACACTGACCTCAAGAACGTCTAACCTAAAGGGGTGGCGTGAAATCGACAAATGTCCAAGGGGCCGTCTATAAATGACGTCACGCGATTTTGGACGATTTTTGACCCCCCCCCCCCTCCTCGTTACACGGCGTCACAAAAAGTCAGACCCCCCATGAATATGACGTCACAAAGCTCTGCCCCCCCCCAAACCATATTTCCATTTTGAAAATAACACATGCTTCACATCGCTTTAAACTATTGTCATTGGAGTGCGTATTTAATGTGGCGCTGCACTCTGATGTTGTAGGAGTGTTATAACAATTCTATATTTATTTAAAGTTGCGCATTTTTATGCGACGTCACATTTCTCAACCCCCCCCCCCCTCCCTTGTCACACATCGTCACAAATGTCTGACCCATAGGTGCGTGACGTCATTTATGGACGGCCCCCAAACAGCCTCGGTGGCTAGCGGTGGCCGAGGCAACATCGTTTCAACGCGTGCATAAGTTGGATCGTGCGTAAGTTGGATAGTGCGTAAGTTGGATCGTGCGTTAGTTGGATCGTGTGTAAATGTTGAACTTCTTTCACGCCCTACGTAGCCAACCGTGCCAATCGCAGCATCGTGTTATAGGCAACGGCTTGCGGCGAGTCTGTGCTTGGGTGTCATTATTTCTCGATACTTTTCCATTCGCTGTGTAAAAAAATATATAAAATAAACCCCGCCGCTACCCAGTGTAAACCCTATCTACAAAATATAGACGAAGCACCCTTAACGAGTGTGACCTGCGAAAAGCTAGGACATGCGCCTGTGCTACTTGATGGCGAGATGTCATCTCACTCGCTTGATACGCAGGAGGGGTCTGTGAGTTCGATCCCGGAGCCCGGCGATGCCCGTTTAATGTTTGGAGTTGGCGTGTTCTTTTTCCCCGCGGTGGTCGCGTGAATATTTGTCCTGGGTGCCTCCAGTTTCCCCCCCCCCCCCCCCCCGACATTTTAGAAACTTTGATTGAGATTTTGGCTTGTTAATTACCACTAAATATCAGTGAAAATGTGCCTCATAGCGCCATCGGATTTCTCCAGGATAAGTAAAGATTCTGATTCTGACCACACGACGATATAATTCACTTCGATGAGCCACCACGTGCGGCCTGGTTGCCTCTGAAATATAGCAAATAGCTCCGTGGACTTTACCATTCCGGCCAAAATGACGGGACCTCAAAACGTGATGTCCCCGCGCGCAGCAACGTGGCGCCTTGCTGCGTCGGCGGCCGATCGGACTAAAA